AAAAAAAAAAAAAAAAAAAGAGAAGAGAGAAAGAGAGGAGGAGAAAGACAAGCAATGGCCGATTTCTCTTCACACGCAATTCACAGGATATATTGCAGCCAAGAATATACAAGCGTGTACTCATGCCCGAAAACACGCACAAGAACGAAAAGTTTGTCCTCAAAGAATAAAAGCAACCTCCTCCTCTTTGCACGAACGGAATGCACGTGATTCGCAATCCCTTTTTTTTTTTTTTTTCGCAATCCTACTCTATCCTTGCAGGGTTACAAAAAACTTTAAAAAGGATAACGTTCATCTTCTGTAAGGATAAGTAAGGATAACGTTGAGTCCAATCAGTCCGGGAATTGAACCTGCGCCGTTTATTTTCTGTAAGGATAACGTTGAGTACAACAAGCCACGTGGGTCTTATAAATATAGCCTCCTAAGGATAACGTTCTTGTCCTGTAAGGTCGTTTATCATTTGCATTTTGTAGTCCATGATCCGCCGATCTCAAGAATCGAACACGCGACCTCCCTCCCACGTAGGAGTTGCTCATTTGCTCATTTGCTCAATCAATCAAAGAGCTCATCCAATTGACATGATGACGCGAGATGAAGACAAGCACTGGATTCGACCAACCAATGTCAACGAGTCAGGTGCTGAAAGAGTATTGGAATGATTTGATTCGGATTTATGGGCTACTGGATTATGATTGATTTCGACGGATTCTGGAAGTGGCTGATTGATTTTGATTCTGATTGGTTTCGATCGATTGGTCGACTGATTCTGACTGATTTCGATTGAATGATTTGACTCGTTCATTCATTCATTCATTCATTCATTCATTCATTCATTTCTTCATTTATTTATTTTGATTGAATTTAGATTTGCGATTGAATTTAGATTTTCGATTGAATTTAGATTTTTCATTGATTTTAGATTTTCGATTGATTTTAGATTTTCGATTGAATTTTATATTTTTGATTGATTTTAGATTTTTTATTGATTTTAGATTTTAATTGATTGATTTGATGACTGATACGCTGGCTGAGTTTAGAACATAGGCCGAAGCAGACAACCCTGTTCTTTCTCCAGAGGGAAAATAACCCATTCACACATTCGTTAATTCATTTCCATTGACATATTGATTAATTGGCTAATTGATAGATTGATTGATTGATTGATTGACTGATAGATTGATTGATTGATTGACTGATTGATTGATTGATTGATTAACTGATTGATTGATTGATTGATTGATTGATTGATTGATTGGCTGGTCAACTTCTCCCACCCAGACTTTGTAACATAGGCCGAAGCAGACAGCCCTGTTCTTTCTCCAAGGGGAAAATAACCCATCCATTTCCATTGACAGATTGAATAATTGGCTGATTGATTGATTGATTGATTGATTGATTGATTGATTGGTTGGTTGGTTGGTTGGCTGGTCAACTTCTCCCACCCACCAACTGAGCGAGTGAGTGAGTGAGTGAGTGAGTGAGTGAGTGAGCGAGTGAGTGAGCGAGTGAGTGAGTGAGTGAGCGAGTGAGTGAGTGAGTGAGTGAGTGAGCTAACGAGTGAGTGAGTGAGCAAGTGAGTGATTGATTGGCCGACTTCCTCCCACCCACATGATCGAGAAATCTTCATGTTTGATGGTGGGAAAAATATACCGCTGCAAACGATAAGAGACAGAGAAACGCAAACGCAGCAACAAAACTCGTCGACAATGCGACACCGCGTTCGCGCCGTCCATAACACTAGTGATATGGACGGAAGGGGCGATACCTTCTTCCCCCGAATACAACGTAATATGGTCATTGTAGCTGTATATAGACTGAAAGATGATACCCCAAATTCAGCTATAATGACCGTGACCGTACGTTGTATTCGGGGGAAGACTGTGGACACACAAACTTCCTCAGTCTGCGTCACTCGGATTCCAGTAGCGCACGCGGCGCTACCGTAGACATACAAACTTGTCTTTACATCCTCTTTTCCCTCGCCTAATCACACGCCTAAACAGTCATAGACGCGGCAAAGCAAAGTCACAGAGAGAGAGAGAAGGTGGAAGGGAGGAGCAGGGCAAGAACGAAGGGGAAAAAGGAGCCGTGAGTGAGAGAATGGACGAGAGAGAGAGAGAGAGGGAGAGGGAAAAGGAGAAGGAGAGGGAGAGGGAGAGCGAGAGGGAGAAGGAGAGAGAAAGACAAAGACAAAGAGAGAAAGACAAAGACAAAGACAAAGAGAGAAAGAGAAAGACACAGACACAGAGAGAGAGAGAGAGAGAGAGAGAGAGAGAGAGAGAGAGAGAGAGAGAGAGAGAGAGAGAGCTCTAATCCATCGACGATTAATCCGTTGATGTGTCTCGATGAGATAATAGAAAATCCCCATACAGCATCCCCATACAGCATCCCTGAGCTGCAACGACGAGAAGGGCCCGTCGCTGGCACCCCTCCGGCTACCTTCGGGAGATCTTGAGGAGGACAAAAGGAGCACATCGCACCTGTGATGGGCAGCATTGTTTGCAGAGTCCTCCTACAAAAAGTAGTCGAATGTAGTCAGCGGCCAACACGCAGACACCTGATGACTGAACTCTTGACACCAGAACGGGGTAGAGATCCTAAAGAGCTACAGAATTGGCCTGCGCCAACCGCGACGTGCAGCACGGCGGGAGACGTCGACAGCAAAGCACAGCCACTCGACTGGATGCCGGGGGCAGGTGCAGTGCTGAGTTGGGAAGATGACGGCTGGTGACCACCCCTACAGCCGTCGCGGAGTACTTAGTCGCCATGGTGCCCCTCACAGTTCAAAGCCAGTCCGGTCCAGTCCAGTCCAGTCCAGTCCATTGCATCATGGCCAGTTCCTGCTTGGCCATACGTAGGGCCACCAACGGCCGAGGCTGTAATCGCCGAGCCAAAACGTAGGACTGCGCCCCTGCCGGGCTTCTTTTTTTTTTTTTTTAATAAATCTGCCGGGCTTCTTGTTTTTCCCCCTGCCAGTCTTCTGGCCCCACTGTCTGGGGGAAACCATGCACGGGCGGCTGGGCTGGGCACCGATCGCGGGAGGTGCGCTAAACGGGTGCGGCAGCACTCGGTTCCGACATCGCCTGGCAGTACGGCGGGCCTAACCTAACCGGCGGCTGGTGAGTCCGTCGTGGTCTCACCGCCGCCGCGGGTGGTAACCTATTCTCCTCGCCTTGACGAGGACCTATGGCTATGGCTGTAGTGAAGTTTACCAGAGGTTAGAATTTCCCGACCACGGCCCGCCTAACGTTGAAGTAATGAAGGGATAGGCTGAATCCAAGACGGGTTATTATCTGTTGGTTAGCCTTCGTATAGGAGGCGACTGGTTTTCCTAACTTCGGTTAGTCTTGTCAAAGTGGTCTGTAACAATGGAGGTGGAACCTACCGGTCAAGGAGAGATAGATGGAAGGGCTCAAGTCCCGGTGACTATCGTTTGGATGCGGAAAGAGTGAGAGAGATGGTAAGGGCATGTTTCGAGGAAGGAATACTTCCAACAAACATTGCCCCTGGTGAGATGGAGGTGAGTGGGAGGGAGGTGAAGTTTACTCTCAACGCCTCCCTCGATGAGATTAAGGTAAGATGGTTGACGGAAAGAACAGTGACAGTTATTTTCCGAGAAGGAGCCAGGTTTTTGCCGAAAAAAGTGAAAGAGGACGTAGTGAGAGCATATGAAGATGTGTGGATTAGAGATGATGTGTTTGGAGAAGAGTTCAAACGGGGCAGAATCAAAGTGGAAAGCCCGAATGTTGTTTCTTATGTCCCAAGAGCCCAGGAGATTCCCGACTAGATGCTGCGAAAGAAAACCGACTTCATTGACTTGGCGGGCACCACGTATCGTACTGAGTTTAAGCCTTGGTTGACTCGGGCCGAGATTCGTGATTGCAGACAGTTGGTGGATCAGAACGCCTTCTGGGTAGTGGCTGTTGGTATTCCGTTGGATGAGATGCCATACATTCATGCGCATGTCAAAAAAGCGATTGGGAAGATTATTAAACAGCACAAACTAGAGGTGGACCACACCGATCCGAAGTAGGTGAATCTGCGATTCGACATCGACATGTAAGGATAATATGAAGGATAAGTTTGTTGTGCAAACCTGCCAAGGCGACGTTCTTGAAGTGAAGCTGGCGGGCCCCGACTCAGACTGGTGTAAGAGGTGTCGCTCCTTCTTTCATACAGAAATGACTTGTCGTCGCACAGGACGAAGAGATCAAGGTGGAGTCAACTTCAATCAACCTCAAGGTTCTACGTCCGGCTCTCGTCAACTAAGACCAAGCTACAATGGGGTCATGCAAGCCTCGGGTGCAGCTACTCATCCTGCGGCTCAGTCGGCAGTTGCACCTTCGAATGCTCCGCTGCCTTCAGACATCAGGTTCAATCTTGCATTCTCACCATCAGCTCCACATGACCTTCAACAGGGAGGGACAGTCCAAGGTCAGAGACAAGGGCATGATCCAGCATTGGAAGCTATATGGGCATCTTATCTGAATAGTTTACTGCCACATCCGGCTGCGGGGTTGCAAGCCGATCTGGGGCCTATGCGATACCAAGTGGAGAGGAACCCCTCGATGTCGAATCTGCATGCATTTTCCCCATGGGTGCCTTCGGTACCCTTTCAGGAAGGTGTGCTTGTCAATAGAAAAGGTGCTCTACTACAGCAGGTGTTCTCACCCTCCGGGGTGGGACTCCCAGGAGCCAGTGGAAGTCGCCGACGTGGCGAGTCCCCAGGTAAGCAAAAAAGAGTAAGCGAGGGAGACGTGGATATTCAAGTCGATCTGCAAATAGAAAACTTTGGTAGCTCTACTAGTTCACATGTCGTTCCTTCGTCAGCAGGAAAGCGTAAGTCCTCACACATTGAATGGATGCACTGTCTAAAGGTCAGGCCATAGTAGAATCAAGGTTTTTGCCGTTGATTTGCGCCTCAGCCAGGAATGGATTGTGGTTCATCGCATGGGTGGGGTCGAAAGGGTTACCTCTTTTGTTGAATTATGCTTGCCATGAATCCCCCATGCCTCATGCCACGACTGCTATGGCCAGATCTTTGATACGAGATAAATTCGCCCTTCGGCTTGTCGAAGCTCCGATGCCCAGACTGTTAGTCGATATTGAAGGTAAGAGGTGTTGTTGTTATGTTCCTCTCTTCGATGCTCGCTTCCTCCCCGATCAATTGGAGCAGCTGAAACAGGAAGGTTTTCGGTTGCTCCCGTTGACATGGCTTCTGGAAGGGGAAAAACCTGAATTGCGTAGGCTTAGGGTTTCACCTCCGGTCTCCGCGGAATTTCTGTCTGACATGAATATGAAATTGGGAAGGGAAAGAAAGTTGGATTTCCCATTTTTGAGACGGTTTTTAACAGAAGTTTGGCCCTCTGCAAACTCGATTGATGGCTCCCTGATCCAACCTACGGGAGTGACTGTCCCTAATGGGCAGACTTAGAGTGGCTACGTGAAATGTACGTGGATTAGGAGATTCAACTGACAAAAACAAGAAAGGTTGTTTGAAGAGTTTGATGCATACCAACAAAATCGATATCTTATGCGTTCAGGAAAACAAACTTGGGGAGGAAAAGATCATCGAATTAGGTTCATGGTGGGACGACCCACAAATTTGGTCGCCGTTCATAGGATCTAGAGGGGGGGTCGCTATTTTAATCCATAGGGATTTGCAGATGAAAATAATCGACTTCTGTGCAGATCTTTGGGGAAAATGGGCATGGTTTAAGTTGTGGGTGGAAAATCAGGAATGGGTAATCGTCTCGATTTACGCTCCGACATACGTAGCCACACGAATAATTTTTTTTGAAGATCTTCCTTTGTTTATTCCAGAGAGCGATCACCTTATTGTTGTGGGTGACTGAAATACCATGATAGATAGACAAGGGGATGTCCGTGGAGGCCGTGATGTGATAGCCTTGACTGATCTTATGTTGGAATTAGATCTGATTGAACCATATTCTCTTCTACACCCCGCAAAACCAGGTTACACTTGGTTCTCGAATGCCAGAGAGGAAACAGGCACTATCAGCAGAAGGCTGTATTTCTTACTGTTCTCACCACTTGTCTGACACGCCACGGTTCAGATTAAGGAAACTTAAAATCCAATCTCCGGTGCGAGGTGATTTGGAGAGAGAAACTTACGTATATTTGAAGGTAAGAAAATGTCGAATAGGGAGATACAGATGATGTTAAAATCCTCCCTGCGTCGGCTCATCCAGGTTAATTGTAAAAGGAAAGGAAGAAAGGGGTCAATGTGTTGGTTTGGTGAAACTTGGGTTTTGAGAGGAAAACTGGCTAAATTGGAAGGGGAGAAGCTAGTGTTGATTGATTGGTTTTCGTCTACTTATGTTTCATTGAACCTGGTTTGCTCGGTTCTTATTTCCGCAGGAGGAAGGCGGGGGAAATGATAGTGAAGGGAGCGACGATTGGTTTCAGTCGGTCCTGTGGACCGAACTGCCACGGTAGGCAGAAAACTAGACGTAGATTGTGATTTTTCTTTCTTCATTTGGTGGAATTTGGTTTGTGTAGGTTTTTCAGGCTTATGGCGATTGGTTGTTGTTCTTGTTGGTTTGTTGGGTTTTTCTGGTCGGTGACGGTTGTTTGTTTAAGGGTTAGGTTTTCATAACAGCAGCCTGTGTTAGGCCCATTCTGATCCTAGATATTACTTGGACCCTGGGTTTCAAGGATTGTCTCGAGCGTTGTTCGTAAGTGAAACTGGCTGATGCTTCCAGGATAACTCCGGGTAGAATTGTGAGGTCCTCAGCCTCCTTTTACTTGGATATAATGAGTTGTTGACAAAAAAAAAAAAAAAAAACGTGCACGACAAAAAAAAAAAATGAAAATCCAGGGAAGGGAATCTGCCAAATAGTGATCCTCAGGTGAAGGGGGGGACGGGGCGGGATTTGAGGGGGTTCTTATTAATTTTTGTCCATCTGCTGGAGCAGGAACCCCACCGGCAGAGGGCGATACCCAATCCCTCGTTTGTTGAGGTAGCCATGCTTGCAGCGGTCCCCTCTATAGCCTTAGGAGAAGTAGTCGGTAGGTAGAGAGAGGTGAAAAAAGAAAAAGAAATTGGGACAAAAAATATATTGTAGTTTGTGAGGGGGGACGGGGGGGGGGTTGGGGGGTCCAAGCTGTTTTTCTTTAGACTGGAAGACTCTGCTGTTATCTGATATTTCATCCGTTCCAGATAGGTAGTACAAATTTGTAGACAAAGCTTTGAGACCCTTTGTACTGCAAATTTATTCTGGGGTTAAGCCCCACTAGCACGGGTTTGGTCTTCCTTTCAAGTACTTTTCAACATTAGATGTTGACCTCAGATGGCAGGAACCTATGCGTACTCAAAACCATACACCCCCACTAATGGGACTTTGGACCCTGGTAGACACTAACTTGGACCTTGTTTTCAACTGCAGACTCCTCCAATGGACAAAAGGATCCCTCTTCGGTTTGAGAACAAGGTGTTACTGTAGGTGCTTAGAGTGGCTCGGTCGGTAGGTGCTTGGAGTGGCTCGGTCGGTAGGTGCTTGGAGTGGCTCGGTCGGTAGGTCCTTGGAGTGCCTCGGTCGGTATAGGTGCTTAGAGTGCCTCGGTCGGTATAGGTGCTTGGAGTCCTCGGTCGGTAGGTGCTTGGAGTGGCTCGGTGGGAAGGTGCTTGGAGTAGCTCAGTGTAGGTGCTTGGAGTGGGTCGGTGGGAAGGTGTTTGGAGTGGCTCGGTCGGTAGGTGCGTGGAGTGGCTCAGTG